TACAGAGCAATCACCTCAGAGTCAACATCTGGAATGTGACCACATCTGTCTGCAGGGTAGTGAGACTGAGAGCAGGGCTCAGGCCGTGGGGTGAGTACATATGCATAAATTTACACCCTAATGTTATTCTATCGATGTGGCTGTCCAATTAACTATAACTATGGTCATATGTCATATCAAAGCAGTTTCTTTATTTGAGTTGATGGAAATTAATTGGCTTCTACCATGAAAGAGAGTATGTTATTACTGAAGCCAAATCTGTAGTCTCTTTATTTTCACTTCATCAAAGGATGTTTTTATTCCTTCTAGAAAAAAAGCAGCATGTCCAGTGGATTTTGACTGTTAACACATGATATACTTTGTACTGCAGCCAAATTCACTCTGTTTATCCAACATGGTTCATACTACATTTAATACACTCTTTTCATTTGATTGAATGAGAAAATGTGTCAAGTTCTGGCTGGTACTTACATAATTTTAGTTTGAATAGAATTGTCTTAGGCACTTTTTCTCATACCCAAAGAGGAGGTGGAGCACTATGCTTGCCCATTTCTTTAAAACGTATCACCTATGAAATTCTTATCATCATGCTGAGGAGACCACAGCCTGAGTAATAGCTAATTAAAACATTTTCTCTGTCAACTGCCTGAGAATTAGTAGAGACTCAGGTGCAAAAAGAGCAGCAGAGAACAGGTCTTGGGAACAGTTCTAGTTCTTACTTAATGGAGAGCAGGATGTCATACACGTGTGATCAGTCAGGGCAGGCAAACACATCTGACGGGATAGGCTGTAATCAAAAATCCGGAAGAACAGGCAAAGGTCTATAATACAGGGGGTTATCTATTGGCTAAGGAATAACAATGTCTTGAAGCAGGGTACCCACAGGGAGGAACGATTACAATCTGACTGGGGAAAAGCGGAACCAGGCAAGTTTATATGTGTTTGGTTGAGCGAGGGACACCAGGGTAGAGATTAGATACAGATGAGATGAATGAGTAATCAGAAAAACCCCAGTCTGAGGCTAACGAGGGGTCCCCAAACGTTTTCCCGGGGCCACATAACTTTTCCCTTCTCTGATGGGGGCCGGCGTCATTTTGTAACAGAAAAAGTGTGACGATCGCAGGGGTGCCTAAATGTAAACATTTATTGTTTTCCAGAAAGCCACACATAACCAAATATTAATAATCATTATTAGTCCACTTTTTAGCTTTGAGAGTTTGTCTGCTCGCATTTGGCCTTGCAAGTTATCATACTTGTGTCATGCTGTCAGTCCAGCAGCTCCCCCTGTGTTTGTTTGCTTTGCCTGTGTTTTCCCCTGTCTCTGTAAGGAGGTGTGGTCTCCCCCTGTTCATCCCCGAAGGGTGTGGCTGGAACAGCTGACGGCAATCAGCAATCAGGGGACTCTTATATCAACCCGGGTCTACCTGCCGTTCAGCGCCAGATCGTTCCGACGTCAGAGTGGTAAATTACTTATTCAGGCCATCTGGCTGCTCGCTTTGGATGAGACGCTGCCTTTGTTCATCTTTCTCTGTTTTTGCCCTAGTTCTTGAGGATTCCTACCTGCCGGCTGGCGGGCTCTCTGAGTCCGTTTTTTCCCCCAGACTCAACCCGTACCTGTGTGCCAAATCGTGTGTGTAAGATCTGAATAAACACCTTGTTTTCAAGTCGGAAGAACCTCCCTTTGACTCCTGTGTGCTACGCTTGGGCCCACGCCCATCTACCTCACCACAATAACTTGTCTTTCACAAATTTGTGACGGGATCCATAGTGTCGGCGCAGATTGTATTCTTTGAATATTTTTCTCTTACCTAAGCTTTTCTCCATTATTCTGTTCCATTTGACAGGGGCTAGTCTAGGATTTGCGTGGCCAGACTGAAAAAAAAAAAAAAAAATCATAATGGGTGTCTGGTATTGTTCAGGGGGCCGGGCCAAATGTGGAGGCGGGCCGTATCTGGCCTTAGTTTGGGGACCACTGTTTTACATCCTCATCGGGTTAAGCAGAGGAACAAGGAGAAGTTTAAGGAAATGAAATGTTGAGTTGAATCATATCAGCCCTTTAAAGCTGCAGCCAGCTAGCTTAGCTTAGCATAACAACTGGAAATAGGAGAAATCCTCTAGCTTGGCTTTTTCTGAAAAATAATCTCTAATCTCTAAAAAGTATCTCTAACTGAGAAATAAAAATGTGTTTGTTTAATCCAATGCAGAAGCAATAGTTTAAATTAACATGAATAACCTCCATAACTATAAGGCAAAGAAATTGTGTTTTTCCAAAAAGCCCAATTGGTGTCAGAGCATAGTAATCGCTCATTTAGTAACAAGTGTTTCATGGCATAAAACACCAGCAAATTCTTTCACTACTAACCGATTAATGCATGGTTGGTTGGTTCCCAAACTCAAGAATGCCGCGGCCCACTTTGAAATCTGAAAATCTTTTGCGGCCCACCCAAACCTTTTAATCACAAAACTGATCAAAACATAAACTAAGGATGATTTCGGGGCAGAGGATGTCGTATGTGTACAGACTGTAAAGCCCTCTGAGGCAAATTTGTAATTTGCGATTCTGGGCTATACAAAATAAAATGACTTGACTTGACTTAAATGACCTTAAGAATTTAACCGACAAATGTATTTACCGACAATGTATGTTTTGTATTCCATTTTCTCCGGAGCTCATGTGCCGTGTTTTCCGCACAATAAGGCGCACCTTCAATGAATGACCTATTTTTGAACATTTTTCATATATAGCACGCATCGGATTATAATGCGCATACGTTTGACGTCGGGGCGGGTGGATGGGGGGGGGTGGAGACTGTGCTTTCAGGGTCCGATCGATGCTGCGAGGTGCGGCCGCTCCCGCCGCCCCCTCGCCATCCATGCCTTAAATCTTCTGTTATCTCGGCAGCGAGGAAAGAATGCGCGACCGATGCTCCCCGTCCGTCTCCGCTTCGGATCGAGCTCGGCCCGCCTCACCTTGGCGGGGGCCGCGACATGGCCGCACGGTGCAGATTCTCGTCTCCCTCCTAATTGGGGACTTTAAATTGCCCGTAGATGTGTGAATGGTTGTATGTCTCTGTGTAGCCCTGCGATTGGCTGGCGACCAGTCCAGGATGTACCCTGTCTATCGCCCGAAGTTGGCTGGGATGGACTCCAGCCCCCCCACGACCCCGTGTGCATAATAAGCGGTTTGACAATGGATGGATGGATGGACCTCTCGCGGCCCACCAGGGGGCCTCGGCCCACACTTTGGGAATCGCTGGATTAATGGGGTCGCTCCCATTAACCAGCGGGGGCAGCGAACTCGCTTTGAACATTTCCAGTTTCAGAAATACAACATACTGAACTCAGGCCATTCGATAAAGAAGATAGTCAACAATCTAAATTTTAAATGAAGAATCCCATACAAATACATAGTATTAATGCATTCAGAAGAAGTGAGATATTTATCTCACTTCATTGTACCTGAATGGAGAATAGCATACTGTAGCTCAGTGGCTGTATGTGTCCCTCCTTTTCACAGAGAATGAAGATACAGTGTCCTCTAGTGGAGCAAGCACTGGAAGTCGATAGAATACTCTTGCAGTTGATGTGGAGCAGGATATAAACAACTTTAATCCACTGACATCAACCAGCAACAAAACGTGTATGTTTATTTGGCTCCATGCTCCTTTCCATACACACTCTACATAAATTCTTAACACCCATTCGTTCACCCATTTCTACCATCTTAAGGGCACTGAGATGTGTACTTTCGAAGTACAATCTGGATGTCGGCAGATTTAGGAAATCACCTAGTTATGCTGTAAAAAATTAAGGTAAAATCTACGTGATAATACACGTCTGGTGGTAGGTTAGAAAGGTTAATAATATAACGAGTGCTAATCACTGCTCACAGAATAGATAGTTGGTTTAACCATAATACTAGAACTGTAAATAATGTGTTTCTGTCTTGATACATACAGACATGAGATGTCAGCACACACAAACATATTTCTGCAGCATACATGATGATTTAATGCTTGAAGTTCTTTATAAACCTTCCATGTGACCACACATACTAAAACAGACCTCGGGAGGAGAAGCAGAGAAGGCTTAAGAACTGAGGAGAAGGAACAGAGTAGAAAAGAAGAACCGGTGACGAAGGGGAGAAGACAGGGAAAGAATCAGAAAATGGGGTAGAGAGGAATGTAACATCAACATCCTGTTGTTTTCTCTACAGCTCACTGCTGTCAATCATCCTCTCGGACCGAGATTAATTTTTTATCGCTAACCACAAAATTACTTGACTCTAAAGTCCGTCACAGAATAAACAGCCAGGGATAATGTAAATGCAAACATGTAATAATTAAGAGCTCCAATCGCAATTAGCTTACTAACAATCATTATAATAGTATAATATTATGAAACATAGCTATGAGGTGTCCCAGAGGTTTCCTCTGGAGTTCCTGAGGGTGTTTTATGTTGTTGTACTGAGATCTGCATTATAGTATTTAGCTTCTCCACTCAGTATATCAACAACTCTGTTTTTCATGCCATCTAATAACAACTGAGCTGTCAGACATTCAAAAAAAGAACACAAAAAGGAAGTCAGTATTTTTACACAAAGATGTTCACATGTATGCTGGATAGTCATTTCATACACTCTGAACTAATCCTTCTCCGGTTCAGTGCTGCTTTCATAGAATGAAGAAAGCGAGAAACCTAGTTCTGTGGCATTCTCACGGCTTTATCTTTCTCCTCTTTCTCATAACCTAGCTCCTCCTGAGGAAAAGCTGCTGCTGTAATTGTTGGCATTTGGTAAATGATGAATGTAATGAATGTTGATTATTGATCCTAAATCAAATCATCGTTACCGGCTCATCTAAGAACATATTAATGGTAGTAGCAGTATGTGAGTGACGAGTACCTCATGTGCATATGGACATGTCTTTGTGTGAGTTGCGATGTCGCTAATACATTTCTGTTCTTTTGAGTTTATGAAATGCATTGATTATGTCACTCACCGGTGAAGTTCCAGAGGGGCCGAAGCCCCTCGACCCCGTTACTGCCGTTACTCATGATGCATGTTGGAGCACAAACAGATGCAGACTGGACTGCTTGCTCCCAATCCCACCCCTCGATACTTTCCGTGCTCCAAGTTTCCTATCGGCGGTTGCACAATAGTTTCTCCCGTAGTCCTTAACTCGCTCGTCTCTTACCCTCCTCTCCTCCTCCCCAGTGAGGACCGGAGAGTCTGCGTGGACTGTGTGTTGTTCCCTTCTAGGAGGGTTTCAACCAGTTTGTACACTCTGGCTTTTCCTCTGTCTCAGGAGTCAAATGAAAAACAGGCAAAAAACAGATGCGAAAACCTCGATGAACTATTCACTTCTTAATGAGGAATCTGTTCTGATCCTTACTCAGAAAACGGTGTGCTTATTCAGAGAGAGTGAGATGGAGAGAGAGTGGTGGACACAGAGGGGGGGTGGAGAGAGGGAAAGCGACAGGGAGAGAGAGAGGGTGGGGAGCTGTGATGTCATTTTCCTCAACCAATCCAGAGTGACTGAATCTCTGTTTAGGTTTCTAATAGGGGTGTAACGATTCATTCACTGAATCGATTAATCGATTTTATATTCCTGCGATCCAACTGAATCGATCTGTGCTCCGTAAATCGGCATTCCGGACGACATATATCGATTACAAATCGATTGAAATGGTACATAATCGATTGTATCGATACTTGGAAACTGCACATTGGATTTATGTACAAAAACTGTATGGATGTTTGTTTGTTTTTTAGAACTTTAGACACGTTAAACGTTACTCGATTCAGTCTGCCTGTCTGTGATGTCATCAGTACGCAGCGGCAGCCGCATGAAACTCGGAACAACAACAACAAAACACAGCGTGGAGGAGACGACTGCGAGCAAGACATGTTCTAAATAAGTCGCTCGCTGTTTGTAGAATATGTAGAAGACAAATAAAAAACCACAGAAACACGACGAATCTTTCCGGCCATCTACTAAGGCGCCGTGGGATTAAACAACGCCGACAGTCAGGACCTCTAGCAGCGTTACCGCTGCAGCAGCAGCAGGTAACTCCAGCTCTGCAGACACCTCAGGCCTCGCCAGCACCAAACTCAACCACACAGTAACAATTGCCAAGTTTATCTGTAAAGACATGCGACCCTACAATGAGGTTGAAAATCCGGGGTTCTGTAAATTGATCCAAACATTGTGTAATTATTGTGTAATGTTTACATTGAAAATGGCACTTCATATAAAAGGTTAATACATTTGCCATTAATTGTTGTTTGCTTGTTTATAATATCCATAATTAATTTAAACCTTATTTCCTTACATGAAACAACAGGGATCTCGGAAACTTTGCCTGCACTGTCCAGTAAAGTTACTGAATCGATTTCAAGTCACTGAATTGAATCGTTCTAAATTAACCCAAATCGTCTATGAATCGAAAACCATGAATCGCGATTCGAATCGAATCGTTGTTAAAATGAATCGTTACACCCCTAGGTTCTAAGCATTTCCTCACAATCCTGCCTCTCTAAATGTATATTCTTAATTTGTGTGTCATCAAATATAACTCCCTCCTCAGAGGAGCAGAAAGTACAATAGTCCCATTGTCAGGGTAAGTAGATAGGGTAAGTATGGTAAGCATACAGTTGTACTTAAGTCAGAAATCTGTTTATGTGTTTCTCTCTGTTCCTTAACCCCCACATTCGCTCATATCATACGTTCTACCTCAGTGGTTCTCCACTGGTCTCCTCTCATGTCTACATGGTCCTAGAGTAAAGCTAAATCCATCTCATCAATTCATCCAGGTCAATGCTGTAGGAAGAAGTTTCTTCACCTTGGGTAATAGCAGTGACTTGCGGTGAGGTTCGTGGCTGAAGAGGCACTAACTCCTTCAAAGTCAGATTCCTGAATATATGAATCCACAATTGAACTGGTTAATTGCATATTGACTACTGGTTATGTTTCATATATTCTTTTATAATACAGTTTGGTTGAGAGCGAGTCAGAGGGTGTAATGTACACCTGTTTACATTACTTGGGTGTTCCATATCATTGCACATTCTGTAACGGTTCATGACTAGTGATCAGAGGCAGGTGTGTGAACAGGTGAAGGGAGTTAGACTGATGTATATAACTGAGCCTGTGAACCTAACCTGGTCGGGAGCAGGTTTTCTTCAATAAACTAAGTTCTTTTTCTAACTTCGTTCGGTGTTTCACTATGGGAATCGCCTCGGCGTGACCAACTAAGGAAGCTCCAATGACACCACGTCTGTCAGTGACAGACAGGTCGAACTGTGCTGGGGCCCCGCCCCTTCATATTATCACAGTCGACCGCCCCTCGCAAATAATTCTTGTTTTCTTCCCGTGAAGAACTATAGCTCCCTCAGCTTATCTTGGCTAGCTTGGATTGCTGCTTAACAGTTCGCAGACGACCCATTAGGACGCGTCGCCGAACGCAGCTCCTGGCCGTAGTCTGGGTTTGCTGGGTAAGTGACTTCATAGAAGTATATCTGGTTACTACACAGTATTAGAGCAGTGTCCGCGTCAAGGCGTACTGTTCTTCCGACGGCTCGGTATTTGGTTACCTGTGCCTTCGGTGGCTGTGTATTATCTATTGTATCGGGCTAACGCGTTACGGCGAGCCTGCCGGGTCTCGGTTAGCATTAGTGCTAGTCGAGCCGAGTAACCGTTGTTTCGCTAACGTGTCACGACGAGCGAACGGTTACGGTGCGCGGTTAGCGGGTTTAACCCCCGGTTGCCGAAACAATTTACCGTCAAGCTAAGCTAACGCTAGGCTCGGCTAATTGTGGTGTATTCCCCTCTCTTCTCAGTTGCTATGTCGGCCGCTACCCCCGCCAAAGGGTCAGAGCTGAAGGCCAAAGAGGCTGCATCCCGCCCGTGCCCTGCGTCATGCGGGGCGTCCATCTCGGGCAGGGACCCTCATCCGATGTGCATAGCCTGCATGGGCGCTAAACATGCCCAGGCGGCTCTGGCGGACCCACAGTCCTGTCTACACTGTGAGCCAATGCCTGAGAAAATTCGGGAAAGACTGCTTAGAGTGGCGGCATCCTCAAAGCAGGACCCGTGCCTGTCTGGTACTGCCGCAAGAGCCCCGACCAGCGCCCACCTGCCGCGAGCTTCTTCGAGCTAGGCGGACATGATGGATGCTGAGTCCCCGGAAATGCCTCCACTTTTCAAGGACCTGCTCGAACTGGAGCCGGGTGGTGAGGACGCAGAGGGCGATGCCAACTCTGACCTCCTTGACGTGGACGACATGGAAGAGGAGGAAGATGACTCCACTTTTCCTGTCGAACCACCCAGACCCCCTAGTGCATCTGATGTTGTCCCCCCGGTGGACAACAACCTGTATGAGGTCTGCAAACGGGCCGCGTCAAAATTGGGCATACAATGGCCGGCAGCCCAAGATGCTACAGGGGGGGAAAGAGACCTGTACGACGGTAAAAGGCTGCCGGCAACCCTACCGCCGTCTAAACAACTTCTGCCAGCCGTGCCTATCTGCATGAAGGAGATGGGCAGGTACTGGTCCAGCCCGTTCAAGAGTAAGCTCCCCACCAAGGGCTACTCTAAACTGGAAGTTGATGGGATGGGAGAGCTGGGCCTAGCAGGCCCACCAGAGGTAGAACCTTCAGTGGCTTACCACCTCCACCCAAACCGCCGCTCTCTCTCAGCTTCCTCTAACATCACCCTGCCTAATAAAACAGAGCGCCTCACCGCCTCTGTTTTGCAGAGAATGTACCGCTATGCGGCACAGTTAGTGTGCCGCAAACGCGGTGACTTTGCTGTCTGCGTACCAGGGAGAAATCAGGGAGATGGGCAGACAACTGGACTCTGGGTCACCGAACCTGGCCCTGTGGGATGAGATTTGCGTAGTAAATGATCTCATCCTCCGCTCATCGCGCGGTGCGGTGCAGGGCTGCGGCCGTGTGATGGGACTTGCGGTCTCAGGCGAGAGGGCCCTATGGCTGAATCTTTCGGGCCTCAGCGATGTGCAGAAGGCGGAAGTGATGGATGCTGCTTATGACCCAGCTAAGGGTTTGTTTGGCCCGGCTCTTGAAAAGATGAGGGAGGCCAGCACCCTCAGGAAACAAGAGGGCGAAGCCTTCGACCTCTGTTTGCCCCGAAAACACATCCCTCGCACCCCGCAGGTGCCCAGGGCTGGTTTTGCAGCTGCAGCTGTGAGAGGGGCACGGGGTGGCGCCAGACCGCACAGACAGGCAGCGAGTCAGCAGACTGTCCAGCAGCCTCGAGTGGAAAACCCCAAACCATGGGGCAAACACTCCTTTGCAGCCGCTGCAGCAAAGAACCGCCCATCCCACCCCGGGGAAGGGAAGAAGAAGCGCACGTCCTAACCGGCCTTGCTTTTCCCTCCCCTCCACCTTCAAAGAAAAGAAGGGAGGTGGAGGTGAGACAACCCCCCGAGTTTGTATTCCAAATTCCCTGGTGTTTTCCAGTTCTCCAGAGGAGCTTTTGATGTTTCTCCCCCCTCAAGTTCAAGGGAGGGAGTATCGGGGGCGGCTAACACTGTGTCACCAAGCACTTCTTCCCACCTCAAACAAAGTTATAAAGTTTGTATTCTCGCAGCCAGGCAGAGGGCCGAGGGCGAAATACATTATAAAAACAAATCCATGTTATGGCCCCATAATCCCCACAGGGGGAGCTCACGCTCCACCGAGGAGAGGCCGCGTCCTCCAGGTGAGGGAAGTGACGTCACCGTACGGTGCGTTCAGCCCACTCACTGGTCGGGCGGAACGGTGGCGCGCGTGCACAGTGCATCCGTGGGTCTTGTCAACTATTTCTCAGGGGTACAGACTACAATTCGCTATGAAGCCACCCAGATTCAACGGGGTGTTAGTTTCAGTAGCCAAGGGCGATTCAGCTCGAGTCCTAGAGGGCGAAATAACATCGCTGTTGAACAAACAGGCGATCAGAGCTGTCCCGAGCGAGGAAGCTCAGCGGGGTTTTTACTCGCTACTTCCTCATTCCAAAGAAGGGGAGTACTTCCCTCCGCCCCATTTTAGATCTCCGTGTGTTAAACAGGCACTTACGCAAGTACACGTTCAGGATGTTAACACACAAGGGGCTCTGTCGTTCGATACGTCCGGGGGATTGGTTTGTAACGATCGATCTCTCGGACGCTTATTTTCATATCGCCATTTATCCAGCGCACCGGAGGTTTCTCAGGTTTGCTTATCAGGGCAAAGCCTACGAGTACCAAGCCATCCCATTCGGGCTCTCATTAGCCCCGCGGGTGTTCAGCAGGTGTGTGGAAGCCGCTTTAGCTCCGTTACGGAACGGCGGCATCAGGATTTTCGCGTACATAGACGATTATCTGATATGCTCCCGGTCACGGGAACAGGCGGTCAAAGATTCCACTACGGTGATAAATCATCTCACGGATCTGGG